TACAGGCAAAAGCAGTCATTCAGGCAGTGTGCCTGAGGACTCAGGCAGTTAGTATTAAAGCCCGGTTTTAGGCCTAAAGGGAGGGCTTTGGGTATGTAAGAAAAGTCAGAAAATTTCAACAGCCTCAGACCAATACTTTTTGAGTTATGTAAAAAAAACTACAGGGGGGGGTCAAATTGACCCCCCCCCCAGCGGGAATAGGGTTAACTTGTTCTCTTCCAATAGATAGATATATAAAGAAGTTGGCAGATTTAAATCTATTAAATAATATCAAAATTATTGACATATTCAATATCTCAATCAATTGTAGAGATACAAAGAGCATTACAAAGCTTATAATATTACGTATTGTCTAGGTCATTTATTAAGTTGTAAATCAAAGACGATTTAAAGTCGTCTCTTAGTTTCATTAATTATTGGGACACCCTGTTTAATAACTTCGATAGATTTTTATTATTCTGTTTATAAGAATATAACACTTATTAAACAATAAGCTTTATTTTTCGTGCATTGTTGTCCTTATCTTCTCATAATATATTGTTTAATTTGCTTCATTGGATATATTTCTCACAGCCTGCATTCCAGCACCCCCCCCCCCCTTATTTCAACCAGTGCTCAGGATTTTTTTTTTATTTTTAGTTTGCTTGTTTTAGAATTCGGCTTATACTTGAAATTTTAGGATCAAGAAAGGTCTGTATACTGTTTAACCTCAGTTAATCTCATGAGAAAATACAGTTGGTTCGTTGATGTTCCAATGAGTTATCTTCTCTGCAATATTGTTTATCTTTCCAGCCCTTCACAATGGTTCCAGGTAAACCTTCCTAGCCCTTCATAGTGGTTCCAGGTAAACCTTCCTAACCCTTCACAGTGGTTCCAGGTTAAACTTCCTAGCCCTTCACAGTAGTTCCAGGTAAAACCTTCCTAGCCCTTCACAGTGGTTCCAGGTAAACCTTCCTAGCCCTTCACAGTGGTTCCAGGTAAACATTCCTAGCCCTTCACAGTGGTTCCAGGTAAACCTTCCTAGCCCTTCACAGTGGTTCCAGGTAAGCCTTCCTAGCCCTTCACAATGGTTCCAAGTAAGCCTTCCTAGCCCTTCACAGTGGTTCCAGGTAAACTTTCCTAGACCTTCACAATGGTTCCAGGTAGTGAGGTTATGCTTTAGTCCAGCCCTTCACAGTGGTTCCAGATAAACCTTTAATCCAGCCTTCACAGTGGTTCCAGGTAAACCATCCTATCCCTTCACAATGGTTCAAGGTACGGAGGTAATACTTTAGTCCAGCCCTTCACAGTGGTTCCAGATAAACCTTCAATCCAGCCCTTCACAGTGGTTCCAGGTAAATCCTCCTAGCCCTTCACAGGTAAACCTTTCCGGCCACTTACAGTGATTCCAGCTAACCCTTCAGATGATGTGTAAAATTGATAACCAAGCATAGATATTGTTTTAACAATCTAAACGTTTTTGAGTTACAGGCAAAAGACTTTTTCGTATTGGTTTGGAGCCGGTTTGGATCCAGTTTTAAGCTGATTCATGCTATATGACTTCAGTCTTATTAACAAGTTTAATAATAACTTATTTGTTTTATTATTTATTTATTTGTTTAGTTAAGACGAGCGATGAGCAAACATGAAAGTCAGCTAACTTGGTATAGACGATTATATATACTTTTCTCCAGGTTAGAAAATATTTTTTATTTGGAAAATTTCAAATTTTATTCAAAATTACCTGGAGGGCTGCTTTTCATGGACTATGTTTTGAAATTTTGATTTTTAGGTTCGATTTCAGTGCATTTTAATCAACGAGGTAAATGTATATAGAGTGATGATGTACGCTTATCCTTTACTAATTGTACAGGCCATGTACTTGACTTCCAAAGTTCAATCTGTATATTACAGTACCCGGGGGTGATTTCTGAAAATATTTAAATGGAGATTTATTTTCCATTTAACTTTTAAAATCCACTACTCGTTTATCCTATGCAGGATTACATTTTCACAGGAAGACGTACTATTACAGACTTTTACAGAGCAATATTTCATCGTTATTAAACGGTTCTGAGAAAACTGAGTAAAATTCAAGATACAAAACCTCCCCATACTCGTGTACTCCGAGAGCGTACTGCATATTTGATGTTTGTACTGTATCATTAGACCATAATCTCTTAATATCATTTATCAGTAATCTATACAAAGTGTACACTCAGGCTAATACACATGGACATGTAGCTAAGATCCAGCCCTTCTGATTTTAATGCAGACCCGGATGTTGGATCTGTTATGTAAATCAGTGCTTAGGATCCGGATCTACTGGATCCGCAACATTTTGGCTTCCAGGATCCGGATCCGCAAAAATAATTCGGATCTAAGGGGCAAAATATCAATCAAAAATCTTTTGCTCTCAAAACCCAAATCTCAACTATTATTCCTTATTCCGGAATGTTTAATCTAGTTTTAGCATAAAAATAGCGAGGAAGAAAAAGAAAAAAATTATTTTAAAAATTTATTTTATAAATCAGTAAATCTTAAAGAAATGTTCATGATCCAGAACTATTTTTTTCCAGTGCAGATCCAGGATCCGGATCTGCATGAAAATTAAATAGATTCTAAGCACTGCTGCAGAAGGATCAAGGAGATGATGTCCTTGATGCACTAGGGTTGATAGTCCTAAGCCTAAAAATTCTCCAAAAGAAATTCTATGCTAGAACAAAACTACGGATTGAATAATGCATTAACAAAATACATTGGTTCGAATCCGGATCCAGCTTATTATATTTCTTCTTTTAATATTATATTTTTTACTTTTTTATTTCAGGTACTTATTAGTGAACACCTTGGAGCCAATATCCAGACAACCCTCTGTCACGGACAAAAAGAGTTTTTAAAACCCCAAGATCAGACAAGATCTTAATGTCCGTTGTCTATGACAAGAAGAAGAATACCCAAGATCTATGATTAGCTAAATGTGAAGCTATCTCTGTCCAACTGACAATTATACTATGAATTGATTAAATATTGTTATTATTGTATCTAGAATTATTTACATCAATCATACTTAGAAGTCTAAAATTCTTTTCCTGATCTTCTTCGAGAATTTTTATAGTTTTGGTAGGATTAAATGTCACAATCACATATTTCACTAACTACACATGACGGGTCAAATTAGATTTGATTCAGAGACAACTGTGCAAAATAAGGGGGACTTTAAGAATCAAGATTTATGATGATCTTGGGAAAATATTAAGAATCGGAATAAAATGCAAGGTGTAGAAGTGTATATTTTCTTAAAATAATGAATTCTAATAAAAATAGTAATGTTGTGAAATTTAAAATACTACGGAAAATGAATTAGTTTTTTGAAGGATGAAAAGCATCAAATAGCAATTTTTTATCCAAAATATCAATTACTCCCACCTCGAATTTTATTCTAAAATCGGTTAAAAACTCTTAAAGAAAATATGTACCCTTGGATTTAAAAAAAAAATATCATAAAAAAGACCAATGTAAGCGGTAGTCGTCATTTACTCTATATTCAAACAGGTTGGTAGTATTTTAGTTGCATTTTGTCGTAGAACAATCAATCATTCGTCTAGTCTTCACTCTTCATAAACACTAACCGTTCATAATTATTCTTAAACATATCAAGCTTATCACAACAATATTAAGATGGAGCAGTAAAAAAATGGAAATTATAACGAAAAAAAAGGAATTGTAAAATTAATTTCAAGTAACTCGGCCGGTTAGTAGCGATAACTTTCATTTTCAAGTAAATTATTAATGTTAATCATTAAGAAATGGTATCAAACCTCCGATTCTTTGGCTTAAACTCGAATAATCCTTATACCTTTGTTCAAACCTTTGATATTTCAATTTTTTTTTCTTCAGGAGAATTCATAGTTTTAATTATTAAATGTGTACCACCAAAAAATTGAGAATTCAGATTAACCACCAACAATGTTAATGAAATCATACTTAGCTAAAATAGGAAGAATAAAAACATATTAATCTTATGATAAATTCTATACTTCTACTTCAATACAAAATATTAAAATATGGAAACTATTCTTATTTTGTTGACTGCGCTGCAATTTTACTTAATATTTATCTTATGATAATAACTAAGGACTTTGAAGTTATAAGATGCAAAGATTGCGTGATACTTTAATTAATATTCAAAATAATTTATGCAACTAAACTGAAACCTTAAAATTTATTAGATATTGTCAACATTAGGCTTCTCATATTCAATCTTAATAACATTGTAATAATATTTTGTGTTGTAAAATTCAAAATTAATGGAAGTGTTTCTAAAATCATTCTCAGGTCTCAGTCTTGCATTGCTCCTATGACATTTTTAAATGCGGGTAGAGGGATCTTGTCCCTAGTTCCCCAGGAAAAACTTAAAAAATTAATTTGAAACAACTTGTTAAATAGGAGCAGTTGGTTTACTTCAGCTGAAAACTTTAGAATGAGATATCCTTAATCCCAATCACTTAATCTGAGTATCCAATGGAAACTCTTATGATTTTCTTCTGAAACCGTTCTTTTTTTGGATGACATGAAGTAGAGAAAAATCAAAAACCGGGGTTTTTTTTTTGATTTAGAGAGTCCCTCCCGTTTCTGTCTGTTAATCTTAAATGGTACGCAAAATTCCAAATTTATCGGCTTCATATATACGGCTCTGATTGGTTGAATTTTATACACTTTTTCGGATACAAGCTAACAAGATTAGGTTAGTCTCGATATTAAGAAAAAGAGAGGATCAAGCATTAATCTAAAGTTTTCATCTCAAATCTTTTAATGTTGTGTTTATGTTCACCCTCTTTTATTTGAATGTAAACTAGTTGTTGATCATAATATTGTTTTATCTAAGAATTGCATATGTTTTACACACTGCACCCAAACTTAATACAAGTTAGCCTGGGGAATGGGGAGGGAACCCTGAAAGTCTCAGCCATGATCCCTTGAAAACTCAGGGTTGGGCGAGTGTTCATGTCAACCTCATTTCCTCAAAACTAAGAATTGCTTCCCTTTCTTGTTTTCAAAATATTATCCATAAAACTATTCCCGTTTCTGACACGGAGAAAATGTGGGAAATCTGCTGTTTATTATTTTGTTGAGTTTCAGTCTAAACCAGTTTTATCTTGTTATGAGTTTTCAACACTGTTTAGTTCACTAAGATCCTGTTAATAATAAAAACTTGTTTGTTATCATTGATAAAGGGTTGTAATGTACACTGTACACTGTTATGAAGCTAAATAAACAATTGTTAATAATTTACAACTTATTAATTTTATTGTAATATATACAGTGAAACCCTTAATAACGAATACATCGGAAGAATTTATCAAATGTCGTCTTGACAATTTTTTAATGAGTTATATTATATTACGTAAATTTCAGTATTTGTGAAAATAAATAAATAGCCATGAATATGCGGGAACAGTTTTAAAGAGTTCCATATAATCATTTAATAAAAAAAAGTAAATATCTGCAACATTCCATTATCAGAAAGTGAAGAATACGACATTTGATTAATTCTTTCGATGTATTCTTTATTAAGGGTTTCACTGTATATTATTTTAAATGTTTATTTACAACCCCCCCCCCAAAAAAAAAAATACTTTAAATTTATATTAAACACATGAAGCACAAAAGCTCATTCATAGGGAAGGTTTATTTTTATTTTTTAGTTAAACATTACTATAAGGAATATAAAATATAGTTATTTTAATTTCAAAACTACAAAAAATTAATGTTCTAGATTTAAATTTTCCAAAAGGAGTAAATCATCGATTTCAATCTCGTATTAAAATCTTTTCATATTTTTTTATTTCTTCAAAACCAGTAAATCCCAAATTAATACAAAATATTGTTATATAACTGTACAGAAAAACACACTTTTTTCGTTCAAAAAATTATGTAAAGTGGTCCAAAAGTATATTGGACTGAACCAATAATTTGTGTACCTTTGACATTCAAGATTTATCAAAACAAAAAGGATGTCAAATTGATTGCAAGATTTTTTCCATCAAACCATAAATCCAACAGTAAGAACCAGAATAGTCAATAACATGAGATTCAGTAATTAAGCTGCAGAAACAGACACATGTCATAAAAGTTACTAGTAAAACTATTGGCTTTGGAACTGCATCAAATACACTTATGAATATTTCAACGTCGTCTTTCTTTTCCCCAGTGTTATGGTTCTCACTGTAGTAGTGTATTTTGTTATAGATAAACTCTAATGTCTTAATATTTTAAATTAAAGTTTGAGAAAGCCACTAAAACAGAAATGCCAGAAATTAAGGTTATTGTGAACAGTGCACACTGTAGTGTGTCTGTGTACACTATAAACTCTGTCTGATAAACAGTGTTTTAATTCATTCAGTTTTATTTTAGTAAGAATGAAGCCTAGGGGAGGAATCAGTTTTATAAAACAGTTCCGTTGCTTTTTAGACATGACTTCAACTGCAGCTTCACTGTTTCAGGTTTAATAATAATTATCCGGCATTACAGAAAAGTTAATTTAAAAAAAACATGCATGAATTTGGGGGAGATGATTTTGGGGGTAGGGGAGGGGGGGGGGAATAAAAATTGAGACTTCAGAAGGCAACTATTTTTCATTCTGTTTGACATTTTACCCCAAAAATCATCTGTTTTCTCTTAAAATCATTCATTTCCCATGAGTTCTGCGAAAAATAAACCTAACATAACATCTGGGGGGAGAATAGTTTTCTGAGGGGGGGGGGATATTTTTCTAAAGATATATCCCCCTGTGGGACAATCTGATTGAGATAAATTATCACTAACTAAGTGATAATCCCTTAAAAACTAGATTTCCAAAGGGAGACAATCCCTTTATGCAAAACAACGTAATGATACATGGAGTTCCTCGGTTTAAACAAATAAAACTTAAATGGGGCAATTTCTTTCAAACCAATAGTGGGTTAGATCCCTTTTTACCAAATAAACTGATAATTTTAAAGAAACAATCAAGTGGTACCAAAAAAACTTTGTCCTTGTAAAGAAAATTATTTATTAGGTCACACTCACAATCCCTGTATATCAAAAGAATATAAGAAACAGGTTTTTTTAGTTGGAGGCACCCCCTGTAAGCTAGTAAAAACCCAACATTAAAGAGAGACACCCCCTGGTTAGCTAGTAAAAACCCAACATTAAATGGAGAGATCTACTATTAGCTAGTAAAAACCTATTATTAAATGGAGACACCCCCTGTTAGCTATAGTAAAAACCTATCATTAAATGGAGACACCCCCTGTTAGCTAGTAAAAACCTATCATTTAATGGAGACATCTCCTGTTAGCTAGTAAAAACCTATCATTAAATGGAGACATCTCCTGTTAGCTAGTGAAAACCAATCATGAAAGGAAGACACCCCCTGTTAGGTACAGTGAAACCCTTAATAACGAATACATCGGAAGAATTTATCAAATGTCGTCTTGACAATTTTTCAATGAGTTTTATACTATATTTCGTAAATTTCAGTATTTGCGATAATAAATAAATAGCCATGAATATGCGGGAACAGTTTTAAAGAGTTCAATATGATCATTTAGTTAAAAAACTAAATATCTGCAACATTTCATTATCTAGAAAGTGAAGAATACGACATTTGATGAATTCTTTCGATGTATTCGTTATTAAGGGTTTCACTGTAGTAAAACCATATCATTAAATGGAGACATCTCCTGTTAGATAGGAAAACCCAATCATTAAAGGAAGACACCCCCTGTTAGGTAGTACACACCTATCATTAAAGGAACAAACAAAACCTATCATCCGAGGGAAACAATCCTTTGTTCAAATTCTAGCATTGTTAATTCATGTGGCCCTCCATTTAAAGAGGACCAGAACCAGACCAGATTCACAACAGTACTCCTTCATCCTTATCTTATTATTAATGTGGAAGATATTGTCGTTTTTCTTTCTTGAAAAGTGTCTAATTCTCAGAATTTCATCCATTGTTTCTGTAACGAGAAATACTCAAGTTAAGGAATTGATTCTTTGCCACAAATTCTAGTTTTCCAATTCAGTTATCTTTGCAACCTGGTGATTTAAAACTTATTTCAACCTTAAATGAGTAAAACAAATTTATTTTTGAAGGGATCTGAGCACAGTGCCCTGTACGCTAAATTCCGTCCTGTTGCACCAATCTCTTTAGTTCAAGATATAATAAAGTATCATGGAACTGCAGGTAAAATTAATTCCTGAAAAAATAGGTTTAGTGCAGTGGTCGGCGTTTATATCAATACAATGAAGATGAAAATTCTAGTTAAATTTTCATTTCTAGCTGTTTATTGATAGCGTCTCTAATAATCTACTACATAATGATGATATTTTTACTAACTCTCAAAATTATCAGCTAAATCATGAATACTTGATATTTTTAGTTTTTCTTCTTTTTTATTTACAATTTTTTTTTAGCTTTTTTGATGCTTGAATATTAGTTGGAATTAAATAGATTCAAAATATGACAGACAAATTTGTAAATTTAGAAGACGACATTCAGAAAACGTTGCTGAAAAGAATAATAAACAGATTGTCCCACGAAAAATGGCAGCGGCAAGACAACTTGAATGTCGTCTTTGATTTTTATATAATTTGCTGCATTTATTTGTCAACCTAATTCTAGAAGTAAAATTTTAGAGATAGTAATCACAAATACCTCTAGTCCTGAAATTTCTAAAATGTGGTCTGCCTTTTTTGTGCTCTCGATATTACCCGAGATATGAAGAATTTCGTTCAGATTTCGACAATTTATTAAAATGCTTTTTAAAACGAAAAATTTACATAAAAATTATAATTTTAATAAAGTTTTAAAGAAGTAATACATTACATAAAATGTTTTTATTAAGAAAGTTTTAAAAAAGCATTATGAATTCTTTTTTACATAAAAACGTTACTTATGATAAAGTTTTGAAAAACCGTTGATTTACGTTAAATGATTTTTATTATAGTTTTGAGGAAGAAAAATTATTATTTCTAGATATATGAATTGTTTAAAGAATAAACTGCAAACATGTGTTGATGTTGGATGTGGATCAGGACAGTTTACTCAGCTTCTTATACCATTTTCTAGATATATGAATTGTTTAGAGAATAAACTGCAAACATGTGTTGATGTTGGGTGTGGATCAGGACAGTTTACTCAGCTTCTCATACCATTTTCTAGATAAATGAATTGTTTAGAGAATAAACTGCAAACATGTGTTGATGTTGGGTGTGGATCAGGACAGTTTACTCAGCTTCTTATACCATTTTCTAGATAAATGAATTGTTTAGAGAATAAACTGCAAACATGTGTTGATGTTGGATGTGGATCAGGACAGTTTACTCAGCTTCTTATACCATTTTCTCATCATATTATAGGTTAGTACAAATATTAATATCTATCTATATAATAAAACAAAACATTCGTGTATATGTTCCCTACAGCCGGCCAAACGGATGGACAGAATGGGCTGACATTTTTTGAGGGAACCCAGGAGTATCCCGGGGGTAACAAAGGATAAAAAAAAGATTTTTTAAAAATTTATTAAATTTTTTTTTATTCCAAGGGCACTTCAGCTAGTCGATATAATAAAACAAGAATTCATATATATATGTTGCTAATAGCTGGCCAAACAGCTTGACCGATTGGGCTGAAATTTTTTTGGACACTCATGGCTGGCCGGGGGTGTTTAAAAGCTAAAAAAAATTTCTCACAATTAAAAAGAAAATTTGACAATTTTTTCACGGGCATCGTCGGGCCCTTTAGCTAGATATATTTTAAGTTAAAATTATAGGGCATACACAAATATGTAGATAAATTATTCCACGAATCAATTTCAATTTAATGATAGGAAAATACTGAATTCATCAAGGTCACCATAAATAAATTATATAAATTATAGATAATAGTAGATCACTGATTTATAGATAATTTATATAATACAGTAATAAACAAAAAACTCTAAAATATGAAGACGACTTTACAGCAGAGTTATTGAGGTTGTTACGAAGCAAATAGTTTTACTAGACACTTATTAAATCTTTAATGAAGTGAAATGGGTCTGTTTTCACTGCACAATTGCTCTATTTTATGCTCACTGTATATATAATTTTTAGAATTATTTTCATATTTTTTAAAATAAATCATTGGTCAGAAAATAACAATTGATTCATAAGCCATTGATAAATCTATCTGCATATCATATGTCAGCATTAAATTTATAGGTTATATGTAGTCACTTAAAATTTAGATAAATGCTATAGGCCAATATAACATAAATATAATTGCTTTAGGCCTAACACGAAGTTTTTGAAAAAATGTCTGAAAAATGCGGGGAAAATCAGGGGAAAATTATTTTTCCCCCACTTTGATTTTTGATTCAAAAACTAAATCACAATTCAGGCCTGCATGCAAAAAATCAGAGAGAAATCTCTAGTAAAAAAGTCGGAAGGCTGCTTTGACCTTTAGGAGGGGGGAAATGCGGGAAAGGGGTGGGAAATCGTATAAGGAGAGGGGGAAATGCGATTCCAGAATTGAGTTTCCCGACCCAATTTTGATGACTTTAGACACCCCACATGGACCTAACACGAAGTTTTTGAAAAAATGTCTGAAAAATGCGGGAAAAATCAGGGGAAAACTTATTTTTCCCCAAGTTTGATTTTTGATTCAAAAACTAAATCACAATTCAGGTCTGCATGCAAAAAATCAGAGAGAAATCTCTAAAAACATTTTATCGGATATTTCAGGACAGGATATCAGCCCAACTCAAATAAAAGAGGTCATTTTTTTAAATCATTATAAATCAAATCAATAAATAAAAAGTGTATTTAAATGCTTATTTTTACATTTCAGGCTAAAGAGATTTTCTGTGATTCCAACATAGAGTTTAGGTCAAGCACAATTCATATCATTTTCATTTTCATTTTGTAACCAATTTTTAAGTCATAGTTCATATTTTCCGACAGTAAAAAAAAAGATTTAAATATGCATGCCGACATTTTTTATCCCCCCCCCCTTGCAATTAAAATTTTTACATGGAACTTCGTCATTTTTATGCCAAAACCATGACCAGCTGAGGTGTTAAAGGGGGAAAAATTATCTATTCTTAACAATTAAAATGAGAAGAAGGTGCCTGCTCTCTTTTCTTTCACTCCTAATTTCCCTTCAGTTTTCCATAGAGGGGGTGTCCCCTAAATTTTCCAGTGGGGCGTCCCTCCCCCCCTTAAGCCGCCTCTGAAACCATGAAATTTCTAATTTTTTAAACAATGAATTTTCAATCCTAAGAGTTGGATCTGCAGAAAGCATTGATATTCCTGATTCTAGTGTTGACCTAGTCACCATTTCTCAAGCTCTTCATTGGGTTCAGGTCAGGGGTATATATTCTCAAAAAAATAATGCCCCCTCTCAAAAAATTGTCATCACTTTTATTTTTCTAGTTGTTTTATCTGAATTTAATTTCATTCTCGATCATAAATAATAGGAGTTTGAAGTATCCAACCATTTTGTTTGGCATCGCAACACCTTCCTGATAAAAATGATTTGACGACAAGCAACAAAGAATATTTGAAGCCATGATTTGTTTGTTTAGGTTGAAGAATTTTACAAAGAAGTTGACCGTATTTTAGTCCCAGGAACCAGATATATTAACCTCATTGTTTCCTTTTTTCTTATTTATCAATTTAGATTTTTTGTAAAAATAAGATTCAAGCGCCATCTTCGATTTATTCGACAAATTTCGAGGATTTACTATTTTTTGTGGACTTTGAAATATTGAAATTTTGTTAAGGCAAATTTTTAAATTTTTTAATTCTAATTTTTAAATTCTACCATTCTATGAACCTTCCCTGCAGGGTTCATGTGAGTGAGGTCCCACAAAAAAATTTGGCTGGATCGGTTCAGCCGTTTTGACGTTTGATACAAACAAACAAACAGACCAGCATCTATATATAAATTTGGCTTGTCTGCCTGTTTGTTTGTTTGTCTGTCTGTTTGTTTGTATCCAATAAACGTCAAAACGGCTGAACCGATCGGGCCCAAATTTTTTGGTGAACGTATAAAATGCCTTTTTTTACTAAAAAATAGGTGAATTTTTTATTAACATAGGTATGTATGGTAGTTAGCAGATACTTTTCTTATAAAAGTATAAGATTTTTTTTGTAAAATCTTATACTTTTTGTAAAATCATGATAAAAAAAAATATATTTAGCAAGAAATTCAACTTTAAAAATCTTTAAATTGCCTCTTTTTTTTCTTTAAGACTTGCTTAAGTTTTTTGTCTTGGAAGTGACGGTAGTTAGAAAATAAAAAAAAATAATAACTGTTGAAATTAAGATTTTGAAAAGTCAGTGGTAGTGAGGGTAGTTTTTGATTTAAATAAAATTCTTGAATAAATGTTGATAAAAAGTTTCAACTTGTCGGTGGTAGTGAGGGCAGTTAAAAATAAAAATAAAATTTTGAAAAAAATGTTGATATATAGATTTTAAAAAGATTTTAGTGGGGAATTGAAATATTTTTTTTTATTTTAAACTGCCCTCACTACCACCGACAAGTTGAAACCTTTTTATCAATATTATTCAATAATTTATTTTTCAATTCCCCACTACCCTCACTACCTCCGACTTTTTAAAATCTATATATCAACATTTTTTCAAAATTTTTTTTTATTTTAAACTGCCCTCACTACCACCGACAAGTTGAAACTTTTTTATCAACATTTATTCAATAATTTTTTTTCAATTCCCCACTACCCTCACTACCACCGACAAGTTGAAACTTTTTTTTCAACATTTATTCAAGAATTTTTTTTCAATTCCCCACTACCCTGAGTTCTACCATTTATATACAAATCAATACACATCTTTATTTTTAAAATTTAAATTATTACTACTTTAACTACCTTCTTTTTACCTGACATGAAGCTAATGTGAAAAATAAGGCATTTTATACATACAGGAATTTTTGTGGGACATCTAGGGACCCCAGGGAAGGTTTATGAATGATTAAAATTTCAAATATTTGTCTCCATCAAAATTCGATCGTCAATAAATTTTTTTTAATTTTGAAAACCCGCGAATTTTTTTGTGAAAATCTGCGAATTATTTTTGTTTTGATATACGATGTACAGAAAGAGAATATGTTCACAATTAATTTATAAGATGGGCGCGAAGCGCCCTCTAAGGCTAGAAGTATATATATAGACTAGGCGTTTAGGACACTTCGCTCCCATCTTCTCTTTCAATTGTGAACATTTTCTCTTTTAATACATTGTAAAACAAAAACATAAAAAGTTTGCGGATTTTTGGAGAAAATGTCGTGGATTTTCAAAATTTAATGAAAATCGAATTTTGTTGAAGGCAAATTTTAGAAAAATGATCATCTATAACCTTTCCTGTCCGAAACTAAATTTGGGCTCGATCGGTTCAGCCGTTTTGACGTTTATGGGACACAAACAAACAGACAGGCAAAGTATGCATATAGATGTAAAATATAGAGAGAAATTATAGACATTTTACCAAGTTTATGAATATGAATATATTAAATAAGAAAATTTCTTTTTCTTTAAACCCAAAATCAGTTTTTAAATCTAAGTTGATATATTGGTGATAGGAGGAACTCTAGCTGTGGTAGGATACCAGTTTACCTGCCCCCATCAGACTTGGACCAACAATAGAACCTTGAAGGACGCCCTTCACACGGTTTATTCAGAAACTAAAGATTATTGGAGCTCTGAAAGGTATTTACATTGTTAAGCCTTGGTACCCTTGAAACCTAATTCGGATAAAAAAATGTAAAAGGTTTGTCTTACAAGTGTTTTTTCTCATAATTTCTACATTGTTTCTTATCAGCAAGAAATATGCGTAAGTTACTTTTCCAGAGAAACCATTTATGAAAATGAATCAAATAAAAAATGGAAATCTAAAAAGCTTTTAAGGGTACCATTGTAAATCAGACAGTGGCATCTTTACATATATTAAGGGTCACATGCAATTACGCATACAGTTTCTTTATTTGATCTAAAAGGTTTAACTTTTGGTTTGATAGCTCAGATAGCTTCGGCAAACTTAACACGATAGTTTAAGTATAAACTTTAGAATTAGAGTATTAAGCCATAACCGGGATTACCGTCGAAGTAGAAAAAACCGTCTAAGCGTTTAAGACTGCAGATTTACAGTGAGAACCAGAAAAGAAAACTGTGAAATAGTTAGACAACATTAAAGCAATGCTTAAGTTTAGTTGACATTGTTAGAAAGCAAATTAATTTTTTGTGAATATTTAAATCCTTTATAAAGTTAAATGGGTCTGTTTAAACGACACAATTGCTGTGTTTCATATTTATTGGAATATTTAGACTCATGACTTGAGTCTAAAAGTCGTCTTCTTATTCCATAGTTTTCTGGTTTTCACTGCAGTACACAGATTTTTTCTTGGGGGTAGGGATTTATAAATTGTATCTTGACTTTGCAACTTTTTAGAAGAATTGTAGACAATGAATACCATGATATCCCACAAGCCGATCCTAAAGATTTTTTAAAGAATGTTGGGATTAATAAATTGTATCTTTAACTATACATCTGTTTAGAAGACTTGTAGACAACGAATACCATGATATCCCACAAGCCGATCTTAAAGATTTGTTAATGAATTTGAATGTTGGGATTAATAAATTGTATCTTTAACTATACATCTGTTTAGAAGACTTGTAGACAACGAATACCATGATATCCCACAAGCCGATCTTAAAGATTTGTTAATGAATTTGAATGTTGGAATTAATAAATTGTATCTTTAACCATATATCTGTTTAGAAGGCTTGTAGACAACGAATACCATGATATCCCACAAGCCGATCTTAAAGATTTTTGAAGGAATGTTGGGATTGATAAATTGTATCTTTAACCATATATCTATTTAGAAGGCTTGTAGACAACGAATACCATGATATCCCACAAGCCGATCTTAAAGATTTTTTAAGGAATGTTGGAATTAATAAATTGTATCTTTAACTACACATCTGTTTAGAAGGCTTGTAGACAACGAATACCATATATCCCACAAGCCGATCTTAAAGATTTTTTTATAAAATGTTGGGATTAATATAGATTGTATCTTTCACTATGCAACTTTTTAGAAGGCTTGTAGACAACGAATACCATGATATCCTACAAGCTGATCTTAAAGATTTTTTAAAGAATGTTGGGATTAATAAATTGTATCTTTAACCATACATATGTTTAGAAGGCTTGTAGACAACGAATACCATGATATCCATACAAGCTGATCTTAAAGATTTTTTAAAGAATGTTGGGATTAATAAATTGTATCTCTATACATATGTTTAGAAGGCTTGTAGACAACGAATACCATGATATCCTACAAGCCGATCTGAAAGATTTTTTAAAGAATGTTGGGATTAAAAAATTGTATCTTTAACCATATATCTGTTTAGAAGGCTTGTAGACAACTAATACCATGATATCCCACAAGCCGATTTTAAAGATTTTTTAAAGAATGTTGGGATTAATAAATTGTATCTTTAACTATACATCTGTTTAGAAGGCTTGTAGACAACGAATACCATGATATCCCACAAGCTGATCTGAAAGATTATACCAGAAAAAACGAACATTTTACTTCAATGAACGGAAGGTATGCACTATGAATACATATACACATATTGAATGAAAATAAATCCAATATGTTTGATTCTTATTCTAGTTTAGCAGATTGGATTGGTTATATTTCTACATGGTCCGGATATCAAAGTTTAAGGTAAAGAGTCAAAATTAATAAAGAAATATCTATTTATGTCATTGTAATGGGTATTATTACAAAATCAAAATTTTGGTCGAAAAAACTAGAAAAATTTAAAATCATAGCAAAAATTTTTTCACATGCATGATATCCAATTCTATAACGTATATAGTTATATTCAGTTTTACTTAAATTATTTAAAAGCAGGTCGATAAAGTTACTTAATCAGCCTGTTGTTGGGTAATTAAGTAACTTTATCACCCTACAATGAGACAAATTAGGTATGAAATTTGAAATTTGAATAGCAGGGTGAAAAAGTTCCTTTTTTGCCATGTTGTTGGGCGATAAAGTCACTTAATCACCCTGCAAAGGGAAATATTATAGGTGTGATAAATTCCATCAAAATTGAATAAAAAATGTATGTTTTTAATTAACAACTCATAGAAACATAAACTAAAATAAATTGCACGTACGATTGAAATCTGACATGTTTTCAATGATAACTCATCTTTTGAATTTCTAATATGCAGCCGGATAAGTTTGTTGATCAAAACTAGAGGAGCTACGGGGTCACAAAGTCTTACCATTAATGTCATAAATTTAACCTTCTCTTCTTTTGTCTATTTAGCTGTGATTTAAGTTTAATAACATTACTCAATTATCTGTAATACTTCTAGCAAACTCGTGGATAAAGCTGTGTCATTTTCATCCCCTATCTTTGCTTTCATATAATTAGAAAATTAGGAGGGAATCAGTTTCTTTACTGTGTAAATAAACAATGTATAAAGGAAGAAAGAAGGAGACGAGGTCGCTGGCCAAGTCCTAAACAGATTTAAGCAGGACTGCCTTAATATCTTAGGTAAAAATCCATGGACCTCGGCTCTCGATTACTTGCAAAGAAAAACTCTTTTTTGAATGGTTTTGTTTTTTGTTTCAGCTGAAGTTATAGGAAACCCTTATTAGTTATTTTTATTTTATTCTTTGTTTTATTTGTCTTTATTGGAATAACACTTAGTTCAAGCATTTCGAAGAAAAAAATTAATATTAAAAATAAAATTGAAAAGTTTTTTAATAAAACTGTTTTTGTAGGAAAAGAGAATCAAAATCCTGCAGATATATCTCTGGATCTTAGAACTAGATTCTGGTTGATTATGTACAAGAAGTAGACAAGATTTTGGTTAATCATGTACAGGAAGTAACAAGATTCTGTTAATTAATGTACATGAAGTAAGACTCTGTTAAATTATATACCGGATGTAACACGATTCTGGTTGATTATGTACAGGAATTAACACGATTCTGGTTTATTATGCACAGGAATTAACACGATTCTGGTTGATTATGTACAGGAAGTAACAAGATTCTGGTTGTTAATGTACAGGAAACAGCAAGATTCTTGTTGATTATGTACAGGAAGTAACACGATTCTGGTTGATTATGTACAGGAAGTAAACAAGATTCTGGTTGATTATGTACAGGAAGGAACAAGATCATGGTTTATTATGTACAGGATGTAAACACGATTCTGGCTGATTATGTACAGGAAGGGACAAGATCATGGTTTATTATGTACAGGAAGTAACAAGATTCTGGTTGTTTATGTACAGGAAGCAGCATGATTCTGGTTGATTATGTACACGAAGTAAACAAGATTCTAGTTAGTTATATACAGGAAGTAACAAGGTTCTGGTTGATTATGTACAGGAAGTAAAAAAATTCTTGTTAATTATGTTCAGGAAGTAAAAAAGATTTTGGTTAATTATGTAGAAGAAAAAGAAGATTCTGGTTGATTATGTACAGGAAGTTAGATTCTTGTTGATTATGTACAGGAAGGAACAAGTTTCTAGTTGATTTTGTACACAGGAAGTAAAAAAGTAAAAGTTGATTATGTACAGGATGGAACAAGATTCTGGTTGATCATGTACAGGAAGGAACAAGATTCTGGTTGATTATGTACAGTAATTATGATTCCATGACTTTTACTTGCAAGACTTTTATCTGTATAACATTTTACTGCAAATTATGTTAGATTATTCGCACATGAAATTGGAACAGTTTTGCATATATTCTATTTATAACAGGAACAGTTTTGCCTATATTCTATTCATAACTGGAACAGTTTTGCATATATTCTATTTATAACTGGAACAGTTTTTCATATATTCCATTTATAACTGGAACAGTTTTGCATATATCCTGTTTATAACTGGAACAGTTTTTGCATATATTCTATTTATAACTGGAACAGTTTTGCATATATCCTGTTTATAACTGGAACAGTTTTGCATATATCCTGTTTACAGCTGAAACAGTTTTGCATATATCCTGTTTACAACTGAAACAGTTTTGCATATATCCTGTTTACAACTGAAACAGTTCTGCATATATCCTGTTTATAACTAAAACAGTTTTGCATATATTCTATTTATAACTGGAACAGTTTTTGCAAATATTCTATTTATAACTGTAACAGTTTTGCATATATTCTATTTATACCTGGAACAGTTTTGCATATATTCTTTTTATTACAGGAACAGTTTTGCATATATTCTATTTATAACTGGAACAGTTAAGCATATACTCTATTTATAACAGGAACAGTTTTGCATATTTTCTATTTATAACTGGAACAGTTTTTGCCTATACTCTATTTATAACAGGAATAGTTTTGCATATATTCTATTTATAACTGGAACAGTTTTGCATATATTCTATTTATAACTTATGATTTAAATGAAATTTTGTTTATTCTAAATTGTAATTTGAATATTTAGACAATCACGAGAATTATACTTACGAACAAATTAATTTTAGAAATAAATTCAATCCGAAAAAATTGAGTTCCTAATCAGCAAATACTGTTAAAAAAATTTTCTATTTCAATTCCAACGTTATATGATTATTTTGCTACGATTTTTTTGTATAAAGAAATATTATGAAAAAATGAGTATATGCGCATTTACATATATTTATTTATTTTCAAATATTTATTTCCAATAAAATGTAAATCTGTCATTTTCTTGTTCTGTTCCCATATTACAAGCTTATAACCTCTCTTGGGTCCTAAAATTTTTTGGGAAAAGCAGTTTTCTTTTGAAACATTTCTTTCTCCAAATCCTTGCTCTGACATCATGCTCTGTTTGCTGCTGCTACATGGGGAACCAGAAAACTGTGGAATAGGAAGACGACATTAAAGCAACACTAAAGGCTGTTACAAAGCAAACTGTTTTACTAGGAACTTAATCACTTATTATCCCTTATGGATCTGCTTACACTGCAGATTTGCTTTCTCTCATGTTTAAAGTTATACCTTGGGTCTAAAAGTCGTCTTCCTATTCCATAGTTATCTGCTTCTTCCTGTATTTTTGAAAATGAAATAGATTCAGTGCTATTTACTGCGCGCAGATTTAACATTTCGGTACCTGTTCCATGCGAACTGTTGACCAATTAAACATAATTTTTTCATTTTTTCTTTTTATATACTTTTGCCAGCGGATGCGTTTTAAATCAAGAAGCGGAAAAGAAAACCTCGTAAGTTTATAGATTGTCGAGTTATAGACCAAACCGTGATAAAATTCAAATCGATGAAACCAAGCTCATCTTGCCCTGGTAAGTCGAGGTTGACTACATGAATTATTATCTTTTTTCTTTATCCTATACAAATACAAGTTTTGCAAATTTAGACACTTCAACTTAATTTTTCTGCAATACTTTTTCTAATTGTATTATGAAGAAGAAAAAATATGTTTGTTTATTTTTCCCTTGATCTGGATTCAGATTGTTAATAAGTCCTCCAGATCCTAAGCACTGTTGATGAAAATTTGACTCATTTTAATCTGTTAAAAAAACTCTCCGAGATCGAAACTTTTGGATGTAGTATGGTTAATTTTGAATACTTGATCTCGATATACAATGTGGGCACTTTTAAGTTGAGGAGAAATGCTTGACTCCTTAATTGAATTTATCCTCTCAGGTGATGACCACCATGGGATATCGAATTGGAATTAAACTAATTTGAGCAGCGAACACTTGTATAATTGTGGATATCGAGATCAATGCTTGATCTCGAACTTTTTTAACTTGTGGATTAATGTAATATTTTTTCGATTTCCGCAGTGCAATTTTAACCTAAAGGGATGAAGGAAAAGAAAAGATTAAGCATTGATCCTCAGATTAAACTTGCCCACTGCATAAATCGGACACAAGCGATATGGATTAAAAATATCCAACACAGAAGTTTTCAGCTGTACTTAGACCTGCATAATATGGAGATCAATGAGTTTAATGATTACATTTATTGCTTGATTATTTAATCACATACAAGATTTATAGTACATTAGATGCAAGGTAAATGAAAAACATGCATCACTAAAAATTATTTTATCTCAAGTGCGAAATTTGAAAAAACATTTAATTGCTTTCAGTGGTTTTTTTTTACAAATGTCAATTATTTCTCCTGCTAAATTAGTACATTTACCTGGTGAATCTCTGTTTCTTGTTCAAAATGAAAAAACGGGGATACAAATATGGAATTTAAAGGGACTCATGACGTTATATCAAGTGACCCTTCATTTAAATAGTAACATATCTGTTGACCATAAACCTCCTAACCACACTCTCACGTCATGTCGTCTTTATCAGTCCAAATCCAAACCAAACAATTTCTCCGACGCTATCTCTCTACCCAGAGCCCGTTCTCTCCATAGAAAGTGGTTGTGTAGTTCACGTACTTTGGAGGACGATATGTTGGCCGATAGATGTCTCATGCTAAATTCTTATCTGATAGATAGATATTTCTCCTTACATATGACGACCAATATAGGAGACGTCAAGTTGTCGAACAACTTAGTTTATGGAAGGAACGACCTTAGACAAAGGAAAATCCAAACAGTGAAACGTAAGTTTTTCTATTAAATATCAAACTCCAATATTACATTGTCATTTAATTTTATTAAAATTGTCATTTAATTTCATTATACCTTTATTTTATTACAGGTTTGAAATACATCTATTTACTGATTATTGAAGACTATTGTGTCAGAGTTAAGGAGTCTAATCAACAAATAAACAAGTCCGCCAATAGATTAATCAATTGACAAATTAATCAACCAGACTAACAGTCTAATATCACCGACGCCTGCATATTGTTTTACAATATCATTTCCCAGTTGATAATAGTACCCTGAAAATCTTTGCCTGGGTATGCTGGGACAAATTATGACAATATTATGAAGATGTAGTGTTTTTCTACAGATTTACCCACAAAGGATGCAGTAGGTAATAGATATAAAAAGCCTTTTTTTTCATAATTAAAGTGTATATATTAAAATAATGTTCTAAATATTACTTTCTTCTTTAACAGGCCAGATGTAAATCTTAGGGAGTTTTGAGATCCATCAGTTGCACCCATGGATGTAGGGCTTATGCAAATATTTCACTCTAGATTCCCATATACCCTTGTTTTAGTATCAATCCCTTTAACAACCTTTCTGTCCATACCTCTCAGAGTATGAATCAATTAGGATTAATCAGTTTCATAGTTTATTTATTTAATACATCTGTACGGTTCTTCAGGTTTAATAAGTTCCTTCAGATATTCAGCTGCTACAGTTCAGGATCTGTCTGAGCACTTTCCTCTATTACTGTATTTTGTTAAGCTGTTCCATTTCAGTATCTATTTAGGCAGCTTCTCCAACTTGATTCTCGTTTAGATTCTCCAATTCAGTATCTATTGAGGCAGCTTCTCCACATTATATCTCATTTAGTTGCTCCAGTTCGTTATCTCTTGCACTGAAATCTGAGCTGCTTCCAGAGTCTCCATTAATTTAGCTGCTCTTAGAATATGGGATGCTTCTACTACATTCCCAGCTGCTTTCTTTACTAAAGGAGCTGCTCCTAAGGTCACTGCTATGTTAATTGTTCTTCCAATCTGAGATGCTCTTACTGTGTTCTCCGATGCTTCCTTTATTACTGGAACTGCTCCTGGAGTCTCTGTTATGTTAGTTGTGCATTACCAAAGCTGCTCCTAGAGTCTCTGCTATGTTAGCTGTGCATTACCAAAGCTGCTCCTAGAGTCTCTGCTATGTTAGCTGTGCATTACTGAAGCTGCCCCTAGAGTCTCTGCTGCCTTAGCCATACTTACAGTTTAAGCTGTTTTCAGAGCTATTCACAGAGTCTCTTCTATGTTTGCCTTACTTACAGTTCTAGCTTCTCATAAAGTCTCTCCTATGGTAGCCTTATTCGCAGTTCGACTTTGCAGACTTTATTGAACAATCAAGTGGAAATTAGCAAAAATACAAATCATAAGACCTCACTTCATTATTGATTTAGTATAGTCACTTCAATTTTGGGGTTTGGGTGTAGGACGTCCCTAAAAGAATGATTTGATTTGATCGAGCTGCTCCTAGAGTCTCTGCTATGTTATCATCATTGTTATCCTCATTGTTATCCTCATTGTTATCCTCATTGTTATCCTCATTGTTATCCTCATTGTTATCCTCATTGTTATCCTCATTGTTTTCATCATCGTTATCATCATTGTTATCATCGATGTTATCTTCATTGTTATCATCATGGTTATCATTATCGTTATCATCATTGTTATATTCATTGTTTTCATCTTGTTATCATCATGATAATCATCATTGTTGCCTACAATAGATCTGTGAAGAGCTGTTCCTCAATGAGCACCGTCTCTGTTCTCTGAATCCTCTGGTTCTGCCAATGGTTCCACAACAGGTCTAGCTTCTGCTCCTGGAGTCCTAAGTCTGACTAGATCTTCTAGCTGCTCCAGATATGCGAAGAGCTGTCTGTAAATATCAGCTTCTCCAGTCTGATATTTTGAATATCCTAGTTTTCCTCTGTATCCAGGATATTCTAGAAATACTAGTTCCTATGTGTCCTGGATATCTATACTTCTCCTGTGTGTCCTAGAAGTCCTAGTTCATTTCTGTCCTGGATATCTTTAGCTCTCCTGTGTGTCCTGGAAGTCCTAGTTCTCCTGTGTGTCCAGAGCTGAAAACTTCAGAATGGGATATCCCTAATCCCCATCTGTTGAGTTATCTGGAGATTAAATTCATGAGGAAAACAAGCCATATTTAATCTGGATATTAAGAAAAAGAGTGGATTAAGCATTAATCCTGATATCCACCATTCTAAAGTTTTCAGCTCTGGAAGTCCTAGTTCCTATGTGTCCTAGATATCCTAGTTCTCTGATGTGTTCTGGATATCCTAGTTCTCTTGTGTGTCCTGGAAGTCCTAGTTCCTATGTGTCCTGGATATCCTAGTTCTCCTATGGGTCCTGCACTATTGTTACCACAGATGTGTACAGAGCTACTCTGCAATGAGTGGTGTCTGTGTACTCAGAATCATCTGGTTCTGCTGCTTCTACAACGGGGTGATGGAGAGCTGTGTACAACAAGCAGCTTTTTCCATTTCTGATAACAGATCCTTTTATCTATAAACCTACTGGTTTCTCAATCATGTCTGGAGGACAATAGATCCTGTCCCATCGTGATCTCTTCACCTGGAGTCATTGGTCTATATTAGTATTCTTACTGCTCCATATCTTGAATGTCCCCACTTTTCTTAGAAGTCCTAGCTGTTCTATATCTCGAGTGTTCCTATTACATGAACCATCTCGAGGAACTAGAGCTTCATCTGGTCCTCCTTGATCTGTAGTTTGACTAGCTGGGGCTGTTACAATCTCCGCCGTACTAGAAACTAATGGAGAGAGGTCCCTTGGGGATGCTGATGAATCTTAAGAACTGAAAATTATGATTTTAACTTATGGGAATAAATTTCTTATACTAAGAAAATGTAATTTTAGAAACCGAACCTAATTCCATAATTATGAGAACAGAATTAAACTACAGAAGCTGAATCCAGGTTCTGGATTCGAGAAACTCTTATTCTTTAATTCCAGAAAATGCTTACA